ATGTGAATAAACATTCAACTGCAGTTGTCTTAACAGTCTCAGTTTCTGCAGGCCGGTCCACACTGGAATATCTTGCAATGCTGAGTGTGACTCTAGTGCTTAGAAAAAAATTTGATTCCATGCAATTTTTGCCTTATACAATCACTTAAAACCCAGCCCTTATTTTAAGTTAAGCATCCAATGAAATACTAAGTAAAAAAGAAAAGGCACAACATTTACTGAAAAACCTTAAACATTTAAATGAATACCTACTATGGGTCAAGTACTTGGAGTAAAACACTGAACAACTTAGACCAAGTTCCCACCTTACCAAAGCATACAGTTTAGAAGACAAGATACATAATTAAACAGGCCATACTGTGCAAGTGTGAAAAGTTGTTAAAGCAGATATAGGATACAATAGCTAAAGGATGAATAGGCCAGGCTAAGGTCCAGAGAGTGAAGAGATGGAGTAGCAAGGGATGTGGCCTGAAAAGACAGGTAAAAGTTTGAGCATGAAAGGTCCTGTAAAAAGATTTTATCTCAACGGAGGAAAAAAGCCAGTGGAGGATTTAAAAGTGAAATGTAATATAATCAGATTAGTTCTCTGGATTGACCACCCTGGAAGCACTGTGGAGAATAGATGAAAGGAAAGCAAGATATATAAACAACATTGTTCACTGTGTTATTGCTTCTTGTTATAAAACATCTGGAGAGGAAAATGGACAAAATATGTTAAGTAATATCCATATAATCAAATACTAAGCAGTTATTAAGAATGAAATAGAACTACGTGTACTGACATAGAAAGATACATTTAAAAAAAGATATGGAATGAAAGGTATGACTCAATTTTTATAAAAAGAAAACAGTACATTTGTACGTCCATAGAACAAAGTCTGACAGAAGGCGCACTCAAGCCACAATGTTAGATTTGTAAGGCAGTAGACTTTGGGGAGAAGGAAGAAAGGTTTTCCCTTCTCTTGTGTAGGGCAGAGGTTATTTACATTTTTTTCTCACATGCATTAGTTTTATAATTAAAAGCCACCAACAAGAAAAAGACTAAATAATAAAAAATAATAAAGGATACCATGGCAGGTACATAGAAAATATATTGGAACAAAGTAAGACTCGAGTCAAGGAAACTAGTCATGAGGCTGTTGCAATACAATCCAGGTGAGAGATGCTCAGTGAGACTGGGCCTGAGTCCACAGCTGCTGGGGTGCCAAGACTTTGGTGGGCCCAAATTAGTACATAAATCCCAATCCCCAACCAAGCAGGCCATGACCCCCCTTTCTGAGGACCACTTAAGATGATCCCCTCATGCAAGGACCACATGCATTTGGGATCACTTTCTAGCTGCTACCTGCTACTGTTATACCCTTGAGGGCTGCTAACACCTAATAACCAAAAGGAATACTTGGGTCCACAGCATGATTGCAGGCTCTCCTTTCCAAGCTATATGTGAATCGTATTAGACCTAAGTGTTCATCATCTTCGTAGAACCTGCTGGATTTAATCTATCCTCCCTCTAAATTTTGTTTTCACTGGTCACAGCCCAAAGTCTCAGCCAACCCCCAGCTCTCATCTTATTTTCTCTCTCAATACTATCATCATGACAATCTTCTGTATTCCTCATGCACCAGCCACAAACCCCAAATTCCTGCTCTTCTGGAAAGTGCTTCCATGGTGCCCTCTGAGATTCCCCAGGGACAAACTCTTTATGTCCTCAACAACTTCCCTAAACATTCCCTTAATTTCCTTGCATTAACTTAAACTTGGGTACCCCCTAGAAAAGACCTACCTGACAACAATGATCAAAGAAGGGCTATTTATTCCCCTGCACTCCACATCTATAGGTTGGAAAGTAGGATCAGTGTTCTTCGTGCTCTCCAATATTGCTTCTAACGATCGCAGTCTCTTATAAAAAACCTCCTTTGAGGCTCATACCAGTTAGTCATACCACTTTCTCTCTTCTTTGCTGCTATCTTCTATTCAACTGGACTCACCTTCTTGGACTTTGCTATTTGCTTTGCTGTCTTCTCTACTAAAGGCCCTACTGATAACTTGGGAGGACTCTCACATGCATAGAGATCTTCACTAAAACCTCTGACCCATCTTTCATCCATCTTACTCTCAGCAGATAATCTTACCACAAAATTTACAATCTCATATGTATATTTTATCAGCCAGGAACAGGGGGAACCGCTACTCTGGTACATGGAGGCTTGGATAAGGAGTTTTGTAACTGGACATGTTGCTACTCTAAGCAGAACTGGGGTTCTATTAGTAAAGGAGAAGGAGGAAATGTGTATTAGGTTAGCAACCAGCAGTATCAGACACTGGGCCAGAAAATAGCTCTTGAGAAACCAAACAAACAGCATTGTATAATTCAGATACTCTGAGGACAGCTCAATTAACTTAGATATAAATAAACAGGTAATTAAAACCAATCCACCCATTCTTCCTTTCGAGAGAATGGTGGAAGTATCCCTTTTCTTTTTTTATTTTTTTTGTGAGGAAGATCTGCCCTGAGCTAACATCGATGCCAATCCTCCTCTTTTTGCTGAGGAAGACCAGCCCTGAGCTAACATCTATTGCCAATCCTCTTCCTTTTTTTCCCCCTTTTTCTCCCCAAAGCCCCAGTAGATAGTTGTATGTCACAGTTGCACATCCTTCTAGCTACTCTATGTGGGACGCTGCCTCAGCACGGCTGGACAAGCGGTGCGTCAGTGTGTGCCCAGGATATGACCCGGGCCGCCAGTAGCAGAGCACACGCACTTAACCACTAAGCCACAGGGCCGGCCCTGCACAAGTATCCCTTCTTATAGCAAACATCAATCCTTTTCGTGCTCCAGGTACCTCCATCCCCTCCTCAGTCAGGAACTTTATGGTATTGATTATACCTCTTATTATGCCTGCATATTTCATCTCTCCATACTGGATACACCACATTAGGATTTAAACATGTCCTAGTTCCTCACTATTTTAAAAATATTTTTCCTTGACCAAATCTCTCTCCAGCTACTACCCTATCTTTCTCCCACTATTCAAACTTATCTATATTCAGTCTTTACTTCCTCGTCCTTTACTGATTACTAAACTCATCCCAACTTACTACCCATCCTCAACATATCATTATCTCCAACTAAGGTCAACAATAATCTTCACATTGCTATATGATATGTTCACTTTTCAAGACTTCCATCTAATTTGATCTCATATAGCATTTAAAACAACTGACTTTACCTTCCTTCTTAAAACACCAGTTTGTCTTGGTTCGGTAAAACACCAGTCTTCCCGGTTTTCCTCTTATCCAAGAAGGCTCCTTGTTTTCTCCTACCTTTAAAGACAGGAGGTCTTTGTGGTCAGTAGTGGACATTCTCTTTTCACACCATCCATTTTCCCTATGCAATCTCAGTCAGCTCCACAAAGCCTATCTACTGATGTAGCTGAAATGCATATCTCCATCCTAGATACCTCCTCAGGGCCAGAACCACATGCCAGCCTGTTCACCCAGATGTCGCACAACTCTATCAAGTTAACACGGCTAAAACTGCAGCTACTGCCTTCTTCTTGCACCACAGGCTCCTCCTTCCATATTTTGCTTCTTAGTAAATTACAGCTAATCTGGTCAGTATCTGTAAGACTGAGTAGCAAAATCTCAAGGGCTTCATTCAGCATTTAAAATTGGCAACTTCCCCTCTATCTGAAAACTCTATGGGTTTCTAATACTGAAAGGTTGGGATTTCCTTCTTGCTTCTCTGATCACCTGTTTTCCGTGATCTCAGTTCCATCATCATCTATAGGCTAAGCAAAAAAGTTGTCAACATTCCTCCCTTTTCTATGTTCCTATCCAAATTTGTACATCCAACATAAAATATTTAACTCTTCATACCTCTGTGGTCTTCTCCTTTTTCTTAAACAAAGTTACTGTATTGACTGTATTCATGTACTGCTTTTAAAAAAGTCAATAAGCTTATTTTTCTCACATAAAAAGATGTCCAGATATAAGCAGTGGAGTGCTGGTACAGCTATTTAAAGATGTCTTTGGGGAACCAGGATCTTTTTCTTCTATACTGTACTAAGGCCATGGTTCTCATTCTCATGGTCACAAGATGGCTCCTTCAGTTCTAGGAATGGAAAATTCAAAGAGAGAAGCACAGGGAAGGCAGAAAGGCAGACTGCAGAAGGCACAGAGAAAAAACCAGCTGGGTCAGTTCCCAGTGATAGTATTTTTGATTAGTCAAGAATGAGGTATATGGCTACACCTGGCTACAAGGAGGCTGAGAAGAGTTCTGTAACCAGACGTATTGGTACTGTGAGCTAAAACAGTCATCAGTAGGGAAGGATGAGCTGGATGTTCAATTGGCGACTAGCAATATCTGCCACACCAGGCCTGAAAGCAACTCTCAAGAAAATACCAATAAAGTACTGTTGTATAGTCCAGATACTCTGAACATAATGCTGTTAACTTAGAAATCAACAATAAGAAGGTAACTGAAAATCTTACCTTACATATTAAAAATACACAATTCTAGGGGGCCAGCCCAGTGGTATAGTGGTTAAGTTCATATGCTCCGCTTTGGCGGCCCGGTGTTCATAGGTTCGAATCCTGGGAGCAGACTGAGGCACCACTCATCAAGCCATGCTGTGGCAGCATCCCACATACAAAATAAAGGCAGATTGGTGCAGATGTTAGGTCAGGGCCAATCTTCTTCAGCAAAAAAGAGGATTGGTGATGTTAGCTCAGGGCCAATCTTCCTCACAAAAAAACCAAAAAATTCTAAATAGCTATGGATCAAAAAAGTCATAGTTAGATAACATTTAGAATTAAACAAAAATAAATTAACACAGACCAGTGTGTTACATAACTAAAAGGGTCTTTAGAGGACTATTTATAGCCTTAAATGCTTATGTTAAAGAACAAAGACTGATATGATGACCTTGGAGTCCACCTTAAGACAATGAAAAAGGCAATTCCACATTCACAACACTTACAGGGTTTCTTCCTTACATTCATAGGGTTTCTCTCCAGTGAGTTCGCACACGCATTCTAAGGGATGAACGAGCACTAAAGACTTTCCCACAGTCATTGCACTCATAAAGATTCTCTCATGTGTATTTTCTTGTGAGCTTTAAGTTGAGAACTTGTATTGAAGGCTTTTCCACAGTCACTGCATTCATGGAGTTTCTTCCCAGTGTGTATTCTCTTGTGCACTATAAGGTAAGAACTTGTGCCAAAGGATTTCCCACAATGATTACACTCATAAGGTTTCTCTCCAGTGTGAGTTCTTACATGAGACTTAAGAGATGTTTTTTGACTAAAAGCTTTTCCACATTGATTACATTCATAGGGTTTCTCACCAGTGTGAGTTCTTACATGTCTCCTTAGGCTTGAGGAATCATGGACGACTTTCCCACATTCTTTACATTCATATTGTTTCTCACACATGTGACTTCTCTTGTGCAAAATAAGATTAGAAATCCTTTTGAAGGCTTTTCCACACTGATTACCTTCACAATGTTTCTCTCCACTAGGAGTTTGCACATGCATTCTAAGGGATGAGCGACCACTAAAACCTTTCGCATAGTCATTGCATTTATCAAGATTCTCTCCAGTGTGTATTTTCTTGTGAACTTTAAGGTGAGAGCTTGTGTAGAAGGCTTTTCCACAGTCACTGCATTCATGGAGTTTCTCCCCAGTGTGTATTCTCTTGTGCACTATAAGGTAAGAACTTGTGCCAAAGGATTTTCCACAATGATTACACTCATAAGGTTTCTCTCCAGTGTGAGTTCTTACATGAGCCTTAAGAGATGTTTTTTGATTAAAAGCTTTCCCACACTGATTACATTCATAGGGTTTCTCACCAGTGTGTGTTCTTACATGCCTCCTTAGGGTTGAGGAATCATGGAAGACCTTCCCACATTCTTTACATTCATATTGTTTCTCACCCTTGTGATTTTTCTTGTGCAAAATAAGATTAGAAATCCTTTTGAAGGCTGTTCCACACTGATTACATTCATGTTTCTCTCTAGTAGGAGTTTGCTCCTGTTGCTTACGGGATGAAGGACAACAAAAGGTTTTGTTTTTATTACATTCATAGGAATCCTCCACCATGTGAAAATCGTTACACATAGGAAGCATGCTACGTTTGAAGTGTACACCATGTTTGGAACATGTGTACTCTTTTTGTGCTGTTTGAGTTCTTTCAAGATGCCACAGAGCTCTATTATAGTCATGACTTTCACAGAGCTTCTCACTTACAGAGTTTTTCTCATAATTGTTTAATACTGAATTATGTTTCAAACACTGAATATCTAAGTAACATTTACAGCAATGTTGATCGGTGGAAACTCTCTTTGAAAAAACAAGTTTTGATCGAAGTTTAGAGTTTTCCTCTAATTCATGATAGTCACAGAATCTCTCCTGAGATGTTGTTTTCTTCTGGGTAAATGTCACTTGCCTCAACTGTCCCTTTGGGATCTTGTGCTGTTTTCTGATCTTATGGCATTCCCAGTCTTCTCTTAATGTAGAGGACCAATCATCCATTGTGAATCTTAGCATTTTCACTCCAGTGGACAATTTTCCCCCAAAAATATTCTGCTTAGGAGTTGATTCTTTGGTTTTAAGTTGAATCTCCCAGTCTGGATAGGTCCCTTGGGGAATTCTTCCTTTCACAATTCTTATCTCTTCTTGACCCAACAGGGAGTTCACAGTAGGCTTGCATAGTTGATATTCCACGGAGGTGAGATTTATATAGTTTTCCAGCATCACGTCTCTGTACATACTTCTCTGAGCAGAGTCCAGCATCATCCACTCCTCCTGGGTGAACTCCACAGCCACATCTTTAAAGGTCACTGGTCCCTGTAACCAGGTTGCTGGAAATCCAGTCACCATCCTTTCCTCCTCAGTATTTCTCACGTAGAAACAGGCAGAATCCTGTGCAGGCAGAGACCATATGGGGGATAGGTCAATGGCTGCCATCTTGAGAGTCTGAAAGTGACATCTGCCTGCACAATAGGGTAGAGAGATCAGGATATTTCTTTTCTTGTTTCTCTGATCCAATCACTGGGTGTCCTCCCTGTAGCCAAAAAGGCAGGTTCAGGTAAAAGAAGAAAGGTGGAAACTGGGCCCCACTGGAGGCACAGTAAAAAAAATTGTAGACATGCCCCCCCCCCCCCTTTACCTCCCAGCAATGTCTGACCAGCTTAAAATCTTTACTGGGATTTGTACTGACATGCAATATAGTCGCTCTTGGCTCCCATCTTGGTTATTTATATTGGCTTCTCCTGCAGACTGCTTCTCAACCCTGGGTGGAAGGAGCATGCATTATTGAAAAAAGAAAAATTAAAGCTAATGAAAACCAGTCAAAAAAGGCATGGTTGTTTAATTAAATTTCATGAATATTTTTCTACTTTTTTAGTTAATTTTTTGGAACGGAAAAACAATTTTCCTGCTAAAGACAAATGTTTTTGGAAAACTTATTTGTCCTATATATAACTTGATGTTTACCTGAATAACTTCACATAAGGACTGATAATTTGGCTGCTACCCTACTTAGGAATTTCACTGGAGTTGTTAAAAATAGATATGTGACTTTGAAACAAATGTTCATTTGATTACCTCCAATTTAATCTCTCTCCCCAAAGTCCATATTTCCTTATGATAACTTATTCTATCTAAAACTTGAATGGGATCAACAAAGAAGCATGAACTATTTTCCAGGCTTTGGGAGTGAGGCCTTAACCATATTAACAATATTAGATGTTAATTATTTTATGGCTGAATCATTTTTAGAATGGCTTTAATATAAATAAAAGAACAACACATAGTGTGAATACAAAAGACAAATGCTTGCAGACTTTAAAAATGACAAATCATGCAATTTATTATGCTAATATTTTTACAAGTCTCACTTTTTGAAGATTAGATGATAACCTTCAACTGCGAGCATTCTACCTCAGTATTATACTTCAATAGAGTTCAGTTTTTTTGTTTTTTTTTTTTGAGGAAGATTGGCCCTGAGCTAACATCTGTTGCCAATCTTCCTCCTTTTTTCTCCCCAAAGCCCCAGTAGATAGTTGTATGTCATAGGTGTATATTCTTCTAGTTGCTCTATGTGGGACGCTGCCTCAGCATGGCTTGATGAGTGGTGCATAGATCCACGCCCAGGATCCAAACTGGCAAACCACAGGCCGATGAAGCGGAGCCCGCAAACCAACCGCTATGCCACTGGGCCGGCCCCTAGAGTTCAGTTTTGATGGACAAAATCATACAAGTGGCATTTTTATTTAGACAAAGATCTTTGACAGGTATATTCTATATCCCTAAACCAGAAGTCTGCCACTTTAGTATAAATCATATATAAATAGATTTCTGTCTGATTTGTTCATTGCTGTATTCTGAGTACCCACAACATTCCCCAGCACATGGCAAACACTCAACAAATATTTACTGAATAAACTGAATGAATCTATGGCAATTAATTAAGGTTTTGTGGAGGAGGTATTTTTTCACATCCCTATACCCTTCTTTCAGAAGGAAAACAAATACAGAAAGTTAGGTAGGCTGGCCCAGTGGCAGGGTGCTTAAGTTCGTGTGCCCTGCTTCAGCAGCCCAGGGTTTGCAGGTTCGGATCCCAGGCGCGGCCCTATGCACCGCTTATCAAGCTCATGCCATGGCAGGCATCCTACATAAAATAGAGGAAGATGGGCACAGATGTTAGCCCAGGGCCAATCTTCCTCAGCAAAAAGTGGAGGATTGGCAAAAGATGTTGGCTCATGGCTAATCTTCCTCACCAAAAAAAAAAAACAAAAACAAAAAACCCACAAATACAGAAAGTTAGGTTTCCTCTTCAAAAAAGGAATTAGTTTACCTTCTGGTTAGAGTTGTTAAGCTATGAACTGTATTCTAACTTCATTTCTTAATTCCCCATAGTTTTTCTTTCTACTTACAGAACTAATTACAAAAATTAAACAACTTTACCAAAGAACAGGAAAAAACATCTGAGTAAATGGAGAGATTCACCAGGTTCACAGATGGGAAGACTCAATATGATAAAGATTTCAAATTTTCTCAAATTAGAATTGCATTGGGATTTTCATTAATTTATATATTCAACAGAGATTCCTGAAACATGACAATTTGATTTTAAAAGTTTTGTAGAAAAAGGAAGGTATATGAATAACAAGGCAATTATTAAAATAATGCTTTGCCCTACTATATTTCAAAATGCATTATAAATCTCTAGTAACTTAAGCAGAATGACAGTGGGGCAATAACAGAAAATAAAACAGAGTAACTTCAGAAACAGATTCATGTGTCGCTAGACATTTAGCACATGATAAATGCAGCACTTTAAATCAGTGGGAAAAGAATGAACTAGTCATTAAATGGTGTCAGGACAAACTGCTATCTGTCTGGGAAAAGCATAAACCCTATTTCACATGTTTACATTCCCAGATGGATCAAAGACATAAATATGGGGGCCGGCCTAGGGTTAAGTCTGTACGCTCTGCTTTGGCGGCCCAGGGTTTGCAGGTTCGGATCCCGGGTGTGGACCTACCGCTGCTCATCAAGCCATGCTGTGGTGGCATCCCATATACAAAATAGAGGAAGACGGGCACAGACATTAGCTCAGGGCTAATATTCCTCAACAAAAAGAGGAAGATTGGCAATGGATGTGAGCTCAGGGCCAATCTTCCTCACCAAAAAAATAAAAAAAGAAAAATAAAAAAAACAAGAAGAAAAAAAAAAGATGTATTAGAGATAATAGTGGTTTCTATCCCAAGCTGAAAGAAAGATCTAAGTCCTTGGTGTTCAAATGTACATACCACATGCCATGCTGAATACATTTTTAAGACCCACCAGACACACTGACCATAAACTATGGAATATCAGAGATAATGAGTAAAATTTTAAAGTTACTGGAGAAAAAAGGCAAATTACCTACAAAGGAATACCAATTCTATTGACTACAGACTTCTCAGCTGCAAAGGCAGAGACCAGAAGACCACACAATATTTTCAAAGTATTAAAGGAAAACAATATCAACCTAGAATTCAACAGCGTGCTAAAGAGTGAGAGTAATATAAAAGACATTGACACATTTCAAAGCAACAACAGCATCCTCAATGATGCTCATAAGAGAATTGCAAATTGAAAGAACACTGAGATATAATTTCTCCAAGGCACACTTTAAATTAAAAGAGATCTAGGAGCTGGCCCCGTGGCTTAGCGGTTAAGTGCGCGCGCTCTGCTACTGGCGGCCCGGGTTCGGATCCCAGGCGCACACCGACGCACTGCTTCTCCAGCCATGCTGAGGCCGTGTCCCACATACAGCAACTAGAAGGATGCGCAACTATGACATACAATTATCTACTGGGGCTTTGGGGGAAGAAAAAGGAGGAGGATTGGCAATAGATGTTAGCTCAGAGCTGGTCTTCCTCAGCAAAAAGAGGAGGATTAGCACGGATGTTAGCTCAGGGCTGATCTTCCTCACACACAAAAAAAAAGAGATCTAAAATTGCATGAACCTTATTTGGACCATGAGTCAAAGAAATTGTTAAAAAAAAATTTTATGAAATAGAGAAATTTGAACACTGCCTAGATATTTGATATCAAGGAATTATTGCTAATTTTGTAAGTGTGATAATAATGTCCTGGTTATGATTTTCTAAGGAGTCCTTATCATTCAGAAACAAATTCTGAAATATTTACAAATAATATATCATGCCCAAGATCGCCTTTAAAATATGGTGATGAGTACAAGGCTGCTTCTACTATTCTGCTTTTCTGTTTTGACATTTCATAACATAAATTTAAAGATCATCAGAGAAGTATTTCATTTGCAAAACGTAAGTAGGATGTTATGGGCTTTTTTTAAAAAAATAAAATCACAAAATAAGAGGCCTTAGGAAATTTAACATCAATATACCAAAAAATGAAAATAGGTAAAAAGGCTTAAAGATAAAGTTGAGGAACTCTCCCAGAAAGCAGACTCCACCTGCCCCCACACCAAAAGCAACGAGAGAGAAAAGGTAAGAAAACTATATGATCCATTTCAAAGGTTCAACACCAGATCATTCAGAGTTCCAGAAAGAACAGAGAAAATGAGGAAGCGAGAATCAAATACAGGGAAAATTCCTAAACATAACAGAATATCTAAGGATTGATCTATCAAAATGGGTAATTTCTTTAAAAGATTGGAACATTTCACCATAAAAGTTTTGAATACCAAAGATAAACTGATAAACCCAAAAGTTCCAAGAGATAATAGTTTACATACAAAAGAACAGTAACAGGCATGGAACAGGACCTCAACAGTAACACTGCTCCATTTTCTATCTAGCTTTGCCAGCTTTCAAAATTCTGAGGGAAAATAATTACCTATCCAGGACTTATATACTGGGCCAAAGTACCATGCAAATATGAAGACAAAATGATTTCTAGTCATACACAACCTTAATATATGTAACTCATATGGACCCTTTTTTCAGGAAAGTAATAAGATTATAATCCACTAAAAAGGGAAAAAAAGTTTCCAGGAAACAGGAGATCCAACACAGAGATGAGATGAGGGAAGAGATGAGGTTTAAGGAAGTCCCAGTATGCCAGTGTGCTGCATGCCTAGAGAACGTCTACACTGCAGGAAGATGGAAGGCTCCTGGGGACATGTGTTCAGAAAAAGAGAAAAATGGTAAGATTACAGACAGGTTTGACCTTGAGGAAAATGGGAGAGAGGCATTTTACATAGGTTTAAGGAACACAAAGCAAATGAATGAAAAAGGCATTAAAAACAGGAAAAGTAAAATTTGTTCAAGAAACCTACTTTGGCTCAGCAGTAAAGACTATTTACGTAGTCATCACCATGAAAACAGTGAGCATGCATTTAACCAAAATTTGTGAGAAAACTACATTACAATACTTGCAATGTAATTACATTTTGATTTAAGGACGTAGGAAGGAAAGCAAGGTTTAACAGTCAAAATTCTCATTTAACACAACAAAAAATTGAAAAATGTCTCAAATTGATGATTAAAAAAAGACTGTAGCTCCGCGCCCCGTGCTGCGTGCTGCGGCGGCACCCAGCCCTCCCCCACCCGGCGGCAGCGGCGGGAGGAGCACCGCGCCCGGGCCCCACGCCGAGGCCGGCCCGGAGGCGCCCGCCAGAACATCCAGTCATGGATAAAAATGAGCTCGTGCAGAAGGCCAAACTGGCCGAGCAGGCTGAGCGATATGATGACGTGGCAGCCTGCATGA